AAATTATGAGAGATAAATTTTAATATTTTAATTAAACGTCATCATTTTTATCATCATTTGGGGGGAAAGAAAAAAAAAAAAAAGTGCTGACAACTTTTCAGGTTAAAAAATTTTTTTTTACGGAGGTCGTGTCCGCGGTAATAAATTATATTCGTTTAATTATCCTTATCATTTATCTACGTCATCATATAGTGATAGTGATGGACTTTTACGCGCACGCACTCACGCACTCCCCTCACGCACCCGATTTTTTTTTTTAAATTTTTTTTTTTTCTGAAAAAAAAATTTTTAAATTTTCAAACGGAGTCGTGTAATTACTTGAAAGCTTTTCTCTCTCTCTCTCTCTCTCTCTGTTCATTTTCCAAAATGAAAATCGCCATTTTTATTTTTTTTCGGTAAAAATCCTACAACTGGTGGAAACGTGGCACTAATGCCACGACGTATTCATTTTTCAAAATAATATTTTTTTTTTTTCTACGGACGTCCGTTTCAATTTTTTGTTTTTTTTTTCTTGTTTTTGTTCCAGGCGTGACCTTGAACCCGTTTTTTTCTTCCTTTCCTTTCCTTAAAACGTTTCTGGGATAAAATGACGGACGCATTCATTCGAACGGACATTGATGGATTAAAAAGTAACTAAAAAAAAAAATAATAATAATAATAATAATGAAATCGGATTTAAAAAAAAAAAAAAAAAAATTTCTCGCTTTCGTTTTTTTTTTCTCTCTCTTCTCTTAATTTAAAAAAAAATCTTTTAAAACGGAAACAAAGAAGAAGAAGAAAAAAAAAACTAGACTTCCGGTAGGACGAAAAAAAATTCTTATTCCGGTTTTTTTTAAAAAAATTTTCATTAAATTTAAAATGTCGTTGTTACTGTATATAAAATATTTACGTAACGGTTTTTTTTTCTTTTTATGGGATATTATTTATAATTTGATTCCAGTTTTTTTTTAAATTTTATTTGATTTTAAATTTCCTGGAGGTCACACAAAATGTGTAAATGTCATTCCAGGGAATTTTCATTCGATCCTGTAGGATAAAAAATTCAATTCGATTAAAAAAAAATTTTTTAATTTTAAAAAAATTTGTTCGAACAACGTTTTCATCTTATTAATATTTATTTTTATTATTATTTATTATTATCATTATCATTATTATTATTATTATTATCATCATTATTAATATTAATATTATCATTATTATTATTATATCGGTTAAAATTTATATTTAAAAAAAAAAGAAAAATACGTTTTCACTTAAAAAATTATTTAAAAAATGTCAACTTTTTAATTAGAGTTTTATTTCCTAAATTTTCTTTCTTTCTCTTTCCCTCTCTCTCTGTCTCTCTTCCTCTCTGTCTTTAGCTCAATCTTCTTCTCTGTCTGTCTCTCTCTCTCCCTCGCTCTCTTTCTCTCCCATTTTAATTTTTCATTTAATTACGTAAGAAAATACTTAGAAAAGAAAGAGTTTTTAAATAAAAGAGAGAAAGAAAGAGGGATAGAAATTTTCTTTCCTTTTTTTTTCGGAAGTCGGCGGCGGCGGCGATGGCGGTGTCGGTGACGGTGACGGTGGCGGTGTTGGCGGCGGATGATAAAAAAGAGTGAAAAATTAAAACACTTAATTAAAGATTTTCGAAATTTAAAAAAAAAAAAAGAAAAAGAAAAAGAAAACGTTTAGTTGGGAAAAAGAACACGAATGGATTTCCCCGTTCGTATATATATAATAAAAAAAATTTTCCGATTTTCTCCTCTTTCCCCTCCCTCCTTCCTCCTCCTCTTCCTTTTCCTCCTTCTTCTTTTTCTTCTTCTTCTTTAGATTTCGTATTAAAAAATTTTTTTTTTTTTTTTGAGAAGGAAAAGAGATGAAAGCGCGCGCGTGTGTGTGTGTGTGTGAGAGAGAGAGACAGAGAGAAAATGGATAAATATAAAAAAAGAAAAACTATATATATATATATATATATATATATATATATATATATATATATTTTCTTTTTTTTAATACAATTTTTTTAAAGTAAATATTATAAAAATATATAATACATATATATATATATATATATATATATATATATATATATATATATATATATATATATATGTAGGGAAGGAAAAACAAATAATTATGGATTCGATGTGACGTCATAATAAAAAAAGAAAATTTCATATCTTTTGAGTATTGGAAATGGCGTTGTGTGTAGTAGTGGGAGGGAGAGGGAGGGAGGGGGTGAAGGAATTTTGATAAGGATTTTGATAAAAAAAACGACGACGAAGAATATTACCACTACTAGTTGTTGTACGGTTGTGTCAGATTGTGGCGGATTGTGGCGGCGGCGGTTATTACACCCGAAAGATTTGTTATATATATATATTTTTTTTTATTGTCAGTCCGCGGTCATTTTTTACTTTTTTTATTTTATTTTTTATTGTTTAGTTTTTCGGTTTTGATATTTCTTTTCGGTTTTATTACTCACGCACACACACACACACACACACACATTTTAAAATCGTAAAATAGAAAGAAGGGGGAAAGAAAACAAAAAAAATTTTCTTTTTTATAATTCGAACACACTCGCAACTCTCATTATTATTATTATTATTTTGTTTTGCGTCGTGGAAAATTGTGTGGGGAGTCGATTAATTAGAGTTGTAGAGATGTTTTGTGTCGTGGTGTAAACACGTGGTCGCATGATTTCTAGTGTCACGATCATGATCGTGACACTATCGTTTTAATTCTTTTCACGAGTTTCATTTCGAAATTTCAGTTTGTATCATTTCTTTTTTTTCTTTTTTCTCCAAAGACTTATTATTATTATTATTATTATTATTATTATTATTATTTGATTTTCTCATTAATTTATTATCATTATCATCATCATCATTATTATTACAGTCGTTTCCTTTGTTTGTTTTATTGCAAAAAAAAAAAATTTAGTTTTCGTAAAATGAAAAAAATAAACGAAAAAAAATTTTATTTTTTATTTTTTAATTTAATTTACTCGGAGATTTAAATTAAATAAAAATAATAATAATAATAATAAAAAGCAGAAGAAAAAAAATTTTTTTTTTTTTCGTGCCGCGGTTTGTCGCGGATTCGAGCGGGAGGGGGTGGATTTGGGGGGGGGGAAAGAAGGAAAAACGTGCTTGGAATCAAATTTCGTTAACGGTTAGCAGACAATGTTTTTAAAAAGAAATTTTCCATTTTTTTTTTTTCGCGAGTGAAAATAAAAAGAAAAAAAAAATTCGGTATCACGATCATCGATCACGATAATGATTATTATTATTATTATCAGTGTTTATTTAGCGTTTCCGGTTTTTTTTTAAATTTCGTTTTTCCTTTTTTTTTTTTTTTGATATTTAATCGTGTGAATTCCCTTCCCGGGTGTGATAAATTCTTTCGCAATTTCTTTTCATTTACTTTCCGTTTCTTTCCCTCCCCTCCCCCTC